CTTCAGATTGGGAGCCCATGACTCAGGATGTGTCAATCAAAGCATTTCTTCCCCTGGCTACATTGATTAGTTCACAAGCACACAAGAATCTAAGAAGGAATGAATTTCAGGACTCTTGCCTGGAGTGCTAGGATAAAGGTCCTCCTTTTTTTTTCAGGATGAAATACACAAAGTGAAGTATGCATACAGCAGGACCAGAACTTCCACAGCCATTTTGGAACCAAGAGGGTGTCTTTGTCTGAGGACAAAGCTGACACATGTAAGAGTCCAAAGGCCAGAGGCCTTTTTAGAGATATTTTAAAGATAAAATGTCTCTACTTTAGAACAGTACGTGGCCCATACTAAGCTCGACATACGCATTAGCCATTAACATTATTCCTCATAATCTCAAGAGAATATCCAAGCCCAAATCAAATGAGGAAAGTGGAAAGTTCTAGGCTTTTGATACCCATGCATTTTCCGAGTAAAATAAGTTAAATATGTTCATATGTAAAGGGCACTGTTAGCTCCATACATACACACAAGCATCATTTTTACAAGGAAATGTTTTTTTAGAATCATTAACTCAATAGTATATGCAAGGAAGATAAATATTTTAAATCTAAAATATTGTGACTATATAAGCTGGCTTTTATTGCATAATAAAGCAATCCCAAACTCAATGGCTTATTACAAAATAAATAAAAGATTTTATTCATATAGCATGACTGCCTGTGAGTTGGTTGGGGTCAGCTGATCTAGGCTCAGCTTTGCAGGTTCCTCTGCTGATCTTGTCCAGGCTTGTTTTTGAGCCCACTGGGGGTCAACTGGCATGACCCCCAGTGGGCTCATAACATGATTAATTATTGACATGATTAATTCATGTCTAAACGGAGATCAGCTTTACAGAAACCAAAGCATAATTCAAAGTTAAAATGTGCTTCTAGACTTAAAAAGAAAACACACACACATAAATGTGTGTATAGATTAGCTCACCAAAGCTAGGTTTCAAATAGTTGCCACATCTGGCGTAACGACTTTCTATATAGTTCCACAACCCAGTGTTCTAACGATATTGAGCTATGAAGATAACAATACATGTTGGTGCTTGAATTTGCTTACATTATCAGTTAGCATGGAGGATTCTATTATACATCCCAAGTTTTCACCCCTTTCTCCTTCCCTGCTCTTTACCATGTGACTTTTCACTTCTTCCCCAAAGAGGTTACATATATTTCTTGACCTCCTGATGCTGGGTTTGGCCACATGCTTTGCTTCAGCAAAAAGAATAAGGCAGAAATGATGTTGTGCCAGGAACAAGCATAGGCCCCCAGAGGCCATGCATGTTCATGCTAACCCTCCTGTGCCTCTACCCTGTTGTGAAAACAGTCATGCCTATGCTCACCTGGTCCTCAGGGAATGAGAGACATGTGCCCCAGATAAGCTTCCTTGACCCAGCTCAGACTCAAGCACAGCCCCAGTTTATCCTCAGCCAGCTGAACAAGCCAGCTGACCCCGCGGTGGGCTCATAAACAAGCCTGGACAAGATCAGCAGAGGAACCTGCAAAGCTGAGCCTAGATCAGCTGACCCCAGCCAACTCACAGGCAGTCACACTATATGAATAAAATCTTTTATTTATTTTGTAATAAGCCATTGAGTTTGGGATTGCTTTATTATGCAATAAAAGCTAACTTATATAGTTACAATATTTTCAATTTTAAGTAACATAAAATCTAACCCTAACTGTCGTAACCATTTTTAAAATGTATTGCTTTACCAAAGTGAAAAGGCCAGCCAAAGCTCCAGCTTTAGCTACAGCTGTACTCAGAGGTTCAATATGTCCGCTGAATATCTCTACAAATTTCTCAGCATGCCTCTGGTTTTTAGACTCTTTCATGTGTCAGCTTTGTCCTTGGACAAATCCACCCTCTTGGTGCCAAAATGGTTGCAGAAGTTCTGGTCTTCCTATTTGCATACTTCACTTGAGTATTTCATCTTGAAAAAGAGGGAGGGCCTTTATCCCAGCACTCCAAGTAAGAGCCCTGAGATTCATTTTTTCTTAGATCCTTCTGTGCTTGTAAACTAATCAATGTAGCCAGGGGAAGAAATGCTTTGATTGACACATCCTAAGTCATGGGTTCCCAACCTGAAGAGAGAAAAGTTGAAGTCAAATTTACCAAGTTCCATGAAAGTTTTCCAATGTCAAGGGCTGTTGGGAAGGGGAAAGAGGTACATAAATGTGGGAGAAGCAGCTAGCAGTGCACACAACAATCCATTTTCTGTTTTGCAATGCATTATCATATTTTTTTACATTGTGTTTCAGATATATCAAGCCTCAGATCGTTACTCCTGCCAAATATGTTTTTAGTAATATCAATAAATGCTACTTGTTTGAATTAACTATATATATTCAGAAGTATAAAGATTTTTTTTCAGATAAAAGAGTTATAATGCCACCATTTATTCCCCAATAACTAGAAACAGCTTCTATTTGAAATCTCAGTAGCACCTGCTTTGCATCTGCTCAACCAACTAAGAATGCAAGTCTGGCAAAAAGAGAAAATCCATTTTAAGTAGATCTGTGACAATATAGGGCAAGAAGTTCTTGAAATCCACCAAGGGTTTTAATCAATAAGACTGACAGCACAGAGCATGCCAGAAGCCAGGAAAAGGAGAATTTGCAAAAAAAAAAGCATTCAAAAATCAGCCCGCACTGTAAGGTTCGGGTGACCAACCAGGGCCAGTGAGACAGAGGTGCATCCCACCATCTTTCTCTTCTGATCTAAGAAGAGTGAGAGAGGAAAGAGTTGATTCGCTCAGGGAAGGTTTTTGTTCTGTACTTTTAGATTCCAACTTTCCCAGTCAGGGGAGAATTCTAAAACTCATTGTCTAATTTCAAAAGTTGGGTTTGAAAAACACGACGAGCTCTTTCTTTTTGTTACCTAATTCTCAGCTGTAAACCCAAGCTTCTTGAGTGTGCATGCTTCATAAAAGGCAAGAGGATTTAATTGAATTTTGCATGCCGCTTCTAAGTGGATTGCTGGGGTATACCAGGATTAATTAGTTTCGTGTTGTTAATTCAATTCAAAGGTTGCTGATAAACTAAGACCATCAAACTCCATTAGGAGAAACAAAAACTTCTTAATTATGACAGCATTTTTGGGGTTGTGGATAAGTTTTATAAGGATGTTAAAGTTCCATCCTGGTTTTCCAGGATTCATGATAGAGCCACTCTAGTAGATTAGAGAGACCCCAATCATCTAAGCACTTTTTGCCAATTTTTTAACTTTTCAAATTTGGTATCTTTAACCAAAAAAAAAAAAAAAAGAGAGAGAGAGAGAGAATCCTTGGTTTCAATGGCTCTTTCTACCCTTTAGAACATGAAATTATCTTTCCAAATAACTAACCCTAGGAGAATAACTCCAGCCTTTCTGTCCAAATGCAGGTAACCTGTACAGGGTTAAAGGATTTGGTTTTGCTCCATCTCCCCAACTCTTTATGGTACTGTCACGATCATAGTATCACGACCCCTTATATATGACAAAAATTATCAGCAAAATATTTTCTTTTGTGGAGAGAATGTTGAAAATATGATTGGTGACCAGACACAGTAGCTCATGCCTGTAATCTCAGCACTTTGGGAGGCCAAGATGGGCAGATCACCTGAGGTCAGTAGCTCGAGACCAGCCTGACCAACATGGTGAAACCCCATCTCTACTAAAAACACAAAATTTAGCTGGGTGTGGTCATGGGCACCTATAATCCCAACTTCTTAGGAGGCTGGGGCAGGAGAATTGCTTGAACTCGGGTGGCAGAGGTTGCAGTGAGCCGAGACTGCACTGTTGCACTATAGCCTGGATGACAGAGCAAGACTCTGTCTCAAAAAAAAAAGAAAAGGAAAGATGATTGTCTATGTGGCCTTGCAAATAACTGCTTCTTGTCCCCTGACTCCTAGCAAACCCCACCTTTTGATGAAAAAATGGTGAGCACACAAGTATGTGGTTGCATACACACTCACTGGCTTACTTTTGGCTAGGATGTACATGCATATTGCGGTTGAGGATCTAACTAACTTTCTCTTCAGCTTGCCATACTGGGTCCCTTTCATATCTTTCTCTAGTGCAAGGGATTTCTCTGCATCTGAAACACCTCCCCTCAGTATGTGCACTTGTGCAAAGATATACACACAGAGACATACACACACACACACTTCTAATAATTCCTCTCTACTTCTCAGTTCTCAGTGCACCCCTCATCTCCTGGGACATCTTTCTTGATTCTGAAGACTGGATTGGATGGCATTCCTATGCGCTAACTCAGCATCTAGGTTTGGCACTAATGTAGCAATTGAAACATTGTAATAACCTGTGAATGATCAATAACTTTCCATAGAAATTAACTTTCTAAATGACAGGAATGTATCTCATTCATGAGTGTATCCCATTCATGGCTGTATCACTGAACAGTGCAGAGCTCGGCACACAGAGGGTATTCCATCAGTATTTTTTTTTTTTTTTTTTT